TATATTTATAATTTTTTATGATATTTCCTGAATATTCTGAAAAATCGGGAGAATTTGATAAAAATCGGGAGACCGGGAGATTGCATGAATTTTCGGGAGACTCCCGGTAAAATCGGGAGAGTTGGAATGTCTGCCATTATCATCATCATCACCATCAACACCATCATCACCATCATCACCATCAACATCACCATCAACACACCTATCCCACTACCATCATCACCACTGTTCTTATCATTATCATCATCACCATTATCATCATCATTATCACCATCATTATCACCATCATCAATACCACCATCATCACCATCATCCACACCACCTATCCCCACTACCATCATCACCACTGTTATCACTATCATTCCCATCATCATCATCACCTTCATCATCATCACCACCACCACCACCACCACCATCATCATCATCACCGTCATCATCATCATCATTACAACCATCATCACCACCACCATCACCACCACCATCATCACCATCAGCATCATCACCATCATCATCATCATCATCACCATCATCATCATCATCACCACCATCATCATCACCACCACCATCATCATCACCACCATCATCATCACCACCACCATCATCATCATCACCACCACCATCATCATCATCACCACCATCATTATCATCACCACCATCATTATCATCACCACCATCATTATCATCACCAGCATCATCATCACCATCATCATCATCACCATCATCATCATCACCATCATCACCATCATCATCATCACCATCATCACCATCACCATCATCACCATCACCATCATCACCATCATCATCACCATCATCATCACCATCATCATCATCATCATCATTACAACCATCATCATCAGCATCATCACCATCATCACCATCTTCACCATTATCATCATCACAATCACTATATTATACTGTACAACTACTGTACCATATTCCTCAGGTAAATAAGGAAACTCAACAGATTAAAGCTCAAGCTGGTATATTGTTACATGAACTTCACCAAGAAGCTCTGAAACATGGGCTAGCAGTATCTCTGTATGTTTTCAAATTCATATTTGCCTTTACTTGCCTTATGTTAGAGAGTTGAAGGATATGAAGACTGTATCAACTCAAGATCAACAAACCTGCAGTAACACTGGATCAATAAGAGATGATCCTTACTGGACCTTTAGGAAGAACAATTTAGAACTGATAGAGCTTGAGAGCTATCCAGTATAAATAAAGTTAGTTTAGTTTAGGTTTCCTCCTATAGTAACACTGGATCAATAGGAGATGATTCTTAATACTGGACCTCTAGGAAGAACAGTTTAGAACTGATAGAGCTGTCCAGTATAAATAAAGTTAGTTTAGTTTAGGCTTCCTGCTGTAGTAAACTGGATCAATAAAAGATGATCCTTACTGGACCTCTAGGAAGAACAGTTTAGAACTGATAGATCATCCAGCATAAATAAAGTTAGTTTAGTTTAGGTTTCCTCCTATAGTAAACTGGATCAATAAGAGATGATCCTTACTGGATCTTTAGGGAAGACAGTTTAGAACTGATAGAGCTCTTGAAATTATCTTTCAGATTCCCATCAGTAGCTGGTGTTTCATTGGGTGGTCTCATAGCAACGGGAACACATAGTTCTGGTGTGGGATATGGTATCCTCGCAACTTACGTATGTTTTAACTGTCTTCTGTCATCATTTATGCAGCTCTTATTCTTGTTTGACTAAGCAGTAAAGGTTGCAATTACATGAGAGTTTTCTCATGTAAACTGTCGCATGTTAACTTCCATTGCTTGATCAAACGAGAACAAGAGTTGCATGAGAGTTGACAAGCGAGAGTTTACATGAGAGTTTTCTCAACTTTCATTGCTTGATCAAACGAGAACAAGAGTTGCATGAGAGTTGACAAGCGAGAGTTTACATGAGAGTTTTCTCAACTTTCATTGCTTGATTGTGATGAAGCAAAATCAGGGCAATTTGTTAGCGCTATTTAACATGAAATTTCAGGTCACAGAAATGACACTTATGGATGCTCAAGGAGAAATTATAAAATGCAGTAGCAACATGAACAAAGAAATATTTGATGCAGCTAGGTGTCACTTGGGTGCATTGGGGATTATACTGGATATAACGTGGCAATGCGAGAAGCCGTACAAGTTGTGCTCGAGTCGAAAGGCGGGAAAGTTAGACGAGGTGAACAAATATTATTTTTATTTTTCCCTGACAAAGCTAGTTGTTTCTGATCTATTCAAAACTGTTCTTCTTAAAGGTGCAGTGTTACTACAGGAAGAAACTTGAACTAAGCTAACTTTATTTATACTGGATAGTTCTGTCAGTTCTAAACTGTTTTTCCTAGAGGTCCAGTAAGGATCATCTCTTATTGATCCAGTGTTACTACAGGAGGAAATCCAAACTAGACTAACTTTATTTATACTGCATAGCTCTATCAGTTTTAAACTGTTCTTCCTAAGGTCCAGTAAGAATTATCTCTTATTGATCCAGTGTTACTACAGGAGGAAACCTAAACTAAACTAACTTTATTTATACTGGATAGCTCTATCAGTTCTAAACTGTTCTTCCTAGAGGTCCAGTAAGAGTCTTCTCTTATTGGTCCAGTGTTACTACAGGAGGAAACCTAAACTAAACTAACTTTATTTATACTGGATAGCTCTATCAGTTCTAAACTGTTCTTCCTGGAGGTCCAGTAAGGATCATCTCTTATTGATCTAGTGTTACTACAGGAGGAAACCTAAACTAAACAAACTTTATTTATACTGGATAGTTTATCAGTTCTAAACTGTTCTTCCTAGAGGTCCAGTAAGAATCATCTGTTATTGATCCAGTGTTACTACAGGAGGAAACCTAAACTAAACTAACTTTATTTATACTGGATAGCTCTATCAGTTCTAAACTGTTCTCCCTTGAGGCCCAGAAATTATCATCTCTTATTGATCCAGTGTTACTACAGGAGGAAAGGTCTAAACTGTTCTCCCTAGAGGTCCAGAAATTGTCATCTATTATTGATCCAGTGTTACTACAGGAGGAAACCTAAACTAAATTTATTTATACTGGATAGTGTTCTTCCTAGAGGTCCAGATAGAATCATTGAATGAAGCATTCACGATGTTTGAGACGAAATTAATAACTGGATACTGTAGAAATCAAGGCGAATCCGTAACCGCTATTCAATGTTTCTCTGATTTTAGTTGCTGGATAATTTGGAAAATGATGTCGTACAAAGTGAACATTTTAAATTTCTTTGGTGGCCTCATACCGACAATGTTGCTACCATTAATGTGGACAGGACCGATAAGGTGTTTAAGAGTTTTCAGTGCCATCGTTTAAGCCGGGGAAACCTGGAATTTAAGCCTGGTTCACATATGCCTGCGGCATGCCTGCGGCATGCCTGCGACTGTATCATTATGCCTCTACTTGCCGCCGAAATACCGGCAAAGTTGAACTCAAGTCAACTTTCCCGGCCTACCGCTGATGTAACTGTGGCACTGGAGGCAATCGGCGAACAAATATTCACATAATTGACGTTTTAAAGCTACCACCGGCATCGTCGCCGGTACGTCGCAGGCACGTCGCAGGCATATATGTGAACCAGGCTTTATACTTAATGGTCTTCACATCTTTTCAACAGCCTGTGAAAACATCAAAGAGTTGGTTCTGGGATTATCTTATTGGGTTTCATCTTTTGCAGTTTATGTATTGGTTGAGGTGAGCCGAGGGCGGATTTTCATTTTTTTAAAAGGAGGGGTAGAAACATTTCTGGTGGGGTGCAAGCGACACCGCTGAGCAAGCTTCGACAGGGGTCAGGCGTTAAGGTGAAAGACTTTCACACAAAATGGGAGGGTTGAAGCAAAATTTTGGCAGGGTTGAACACTTTGTATGAGGGGTTAGGGAGATTCTAGGGGGGTTAACCCCCTCCCCCCCCCCCAGTAAATCCGCCCATGAGGTTAGGTGAGCGTAACGCTTCGTCAACATTCAGTACTATCTACTCACGATTTGTGTGGTTTGCAAGAGGGCTATAGTGTAGGTATTAAACAGTCTCGTATTGTGTTATATATCTTTTACTTTTCTGTAGTACATTTTTCCCTTCGCTGGTGAAATACATCAATAGATATCATTTCTCGTGGTTGAAATCACAGCCTGAAGAGATCATCGATGAAGCCGAAAAGGTGAAAGGAATGTCGGGTACTCCGGTTTCCTCCCACAGGGAATGTTGACAGGGTGTGGTTGGGATTAGCCCCTAAGTGTTCCTACTACCGTAGCTGCATGTGCTCCGTGATCGGACATGAGTTCTAAGGTGGCTACCAGAGGCTCCCTTAGAAAGGCATCGACTCCATCAGGTTGAGCTGCGTCGCAATTCAGCTTGGCTCTCAGCTGTAAGTAAGGATTATTAGAAAACCCACACTTGCTTGCTGGCTGGCTGGCTTGCTTGCTTGCTGGCTGGCTGGCTTGCTTGCTTGCTGGCTTTCTTGCTGGCTTGCTTGCTTGCTGGCGTTCTTGCTTGCTTGCTGGCTGGCTTTCTTGCTGGCTTTCTTGCTGGCTGGCTTGCTGGCTGGCTTGCTGGCTGGCTTGCTGGCTGGCTGGCTGGCTGGCTGGCTTGCTTGCTGGCTGGCTGGCTTGCTGGCTGGCTAGCTTGCTGGCTTGCTGGCTGGCTGGCTTGCTCGCTGGCTGGCTTGCTTGCTTGCTTGCTTGCTGGCTGGCTGGCTGGCTGGCTGGCTGGCTCGCTCGCTCGCTCGCTCGCTCGCTAATTTCACCACTGAAAACTTGGCTTCTAGTTCGACTCTTCCAAACACGGCAGGATTTTCCAGGATGTATACTGTGCTTTTATCCTGTAGAAACACAGCATGTTTTTCGTTTCGCTTCAGATATTTACTTTCGACTGTCTCTTCGCGCAATACGTCAACGAGTGGGCGATACCGAGGTTTGTGTGAAGCGAATTATAAGTTCGGATTTTTAACTAGTGAACGTTTTTAGTTTATACTGTTCCGTTGATGAGAACAATTGTTTAAAATTTAGAGAGAAAACAGCGTATGTGTTAAAACGTTTGAAGAAATGGCTTGATGAATCCGGCTTCTATGCTCATATGCCAGGTATGGTTTGCATTGGGCTTATGTTAGGGATGGATCTAGCCTCATTTGCAAGGGGGGGGGGTGCAGGTTTTCCATGGGGTGGTGCATGAGGGAGCCTTACTGCCCACTCTCCTCTGCATTCTGCAACGCTACTACCCCAACATTACCATTATTTGAGATGGCCGAATCTGCATGTTCGCCGTTCTGTTATGTTTTACATTATCTTTTGTTTATAAAATTTATATCGGCTTTTTATCACGTATGCGTGACTGGACAGTTGCTGTAGCACAGTACAGTACATTTTCTTGTTAAAGTACAGTATATTTGAAAATATGGCTGTATAACAACTTCGACATGGTTACATATTTAACCATGATATTTCACTTAAAGCATTCTGAGTATTTTCTCGTGAGCTCACAAATCAATTGAATCGTTTCAAGAAATCGACACGCGCTAACAGTAGAAGTTCCGTTAATCGCTATTCGAAAAGCAGAAATGTATAGTCAATATATTGTATTGTCACCGTACAAATGTTCAAATAACTTATTGTTGTGTATTCTCAATGTGCTGATTATAAAGATTCTTCTATTTCGCTATAGTCGAAGTAAGATTTGTGGCGAAAGATGACATATACATGAGTCCTGCGTTTGGTCGAGATGTGTGCTTTATTGGTATTATTATGTATCGGTAAGTTAACTCTCTGGACAAAAACTAAACTGCAAAAGCCATATCAGCAGATGCCGACCGGCCTATAATAGACAATTCCCATTATAGACTAATTTTAAAACTAGGCAAGGAGATGCAACTAAATCACCACAGCTAGAAAGAGAGTAGTAAAATGAGAACAATTGCAAAGTTTGGTTGTGAAATGTTGTAAAATACGGAAAATATAGCCCAGTTGCAAAGTTTCCAAATTTTGTATATTTTTGTATTGCGTGCGGAAATCGCTGCCATTTTCGGCCCAAATGTGGCAGCAATTTCCGCACGCAATACAAAAGTGTACAAAATTTGCGAACTTTGCAAAGCTATATTTTCTGCATTTTACAACATTTCGCAACCAAACTTTGCAGTTTTACTCATTTTAGTATGCTCTTTCCGAGAATATACTTTTTTTGCTAAGATAAAAAATGAGTCTATAATGGGAATTGTCTATTTCTGTCGTCGTGTGATCACCGCAAAAGTGTCAAAAGTAGTTGAGAATTATGAATATACAATTACTTTATGGTTTCCGTGTTTGGATGGCCTGATCCAAACACGCGGGAATGTTGCGAGGGTTAAGAAAAGCGAGCGAAAACACGAGCCGAAGGCGAGTGATTTTGCCCGCTTTTCTTAACTCGAGCAACATTCCCAAGTGTTTGGATCATTCCATCCAAACACGGAAACCATAAAGTAATAGTTTTATAAAATAACAACAACACGATAGTCTTCCGTGTTTGGATGGCCTGATCCAAACACGGGTTTCGACCAATCAGAATACGCGTTATATACATGTTATTTTATAATCATTTTTCCTTCCAGTCCGTATCGTAAATCTGTACCGCATGAAGATTTTTGGAATTTCTACGAAGATCTTATGTTCTCCGTTGGTGGCCGACCACACTGGGGCAAGGTTTGTTCAATTTGTTTCATTGTTTTGAAAATCCCACTGTTCTCCATGCCATCCAGTCACGATCCAGTGATCAGAATGTTCCATTGTCTTTTCATTGTTTTGAAAATCTCACTGTTCTCCATGCCATCCAGTCATGATCCAGTGATCAGAATGTTCCATTGTCTTTTCATTGTTTTGAAAATCTCACTGTTCTCCATGCCATCCAGTCATGATCCAGGGATCAGAATGTTCCATTGTCTTTTCATTGTTTTGAAAATCTCACTGTTCTCCATGCCATCCAGTCATGATCCAGTGATCAGAATGTTCCATTGTCTTTCAATTGTTTTGAAAATCCCACTGTTCTCCATGTCATCCAGTCATGATCCAGTGATCAGAATGTTCCATTGTCTTTTCATTGTTTTGAAAATCCCACTGTTCTCCATGCCACCCAGTCATGATCCAGTGATCAGAATGTTCCATTGTCTTTTCATTGTTTTGAAAATCTCACTGTTCTTCATGCCATCCAGTCATGATCCAGTGATCAGAATGTTCCATTGTCTTTTCATTGTTTTGAAAATCTCACTGTTCTCTATGCCATCCAGTCATGATCAAGTGATCAGAATTTCCATTGTCTTTTTTTCATTGTTTTGAAAATCCCACTGTACCCCATGCCATCCATCCAGTCACGATCCAGTGATCAGAATGTTCCATTGTCTTTTCATTGTCCCCTTTTTTCCCCACAGGCTCACAAACTTGGTTCCCAGGCTTTGAGAAAAATTTACCCAAATTTCGACGACTTCCGGAATATTTGCTCCAAACTCGACCCAGGCCGCTTGTTTGTGAACGAGTACTTGGAGAGAACTCTTTTCCCGCCAGAAAAGGTAATGACGTAATTGTCCCGTAATTATTCGTCGTACACTCGCGAAACACGCAAGCGAGAACAAACTAGATTCTTATTATAAAACATTTGTTGGACCATATTTAATAGTTGCACAGACATTATTTCGTGGTCATGTTTCCCAAAATTGGGCATATCAGGAAACATTGTTTCCCAACCATGTTTCTCAAAGGTGGATAAACCAGGAAACAACATTGTTTCCTAGCCATGTTTCCCAAAGGTGAACAAACCAGGAAACATGGTTTCCTAGCCATGTTTCCCAAAGGTGTACAAACCAGGAAACATTGTTTCCTAGCCATGTTTCCCAAAGGTGAACAAACCAGGAAACATTGTTTCCTAGCCATGTTTCCCAAAGGTGAACAAACCAGGAAACATTGTTTCCTAGCCATGTTTCCCGAAGGTGGACAAACCAGGAAACATTGTTTCCTAGCCATGTTTCCCAAAGGTGGACAAACCAGGAAACATTGTTTCCTAGCCATGTTTCCCAAAGGTGGACAAACCAGGAAACATTGTTTCCTAGCCATGTTTCCCAAAGGTGAACAAACCAGGAAACATTGTTTCCTAGCCATGTTTCCCAAAGGTGAACAAACCAGGAAACATTGTGCATTGACTCCATCGAGAATTCTAGCTTACTTGCACAAGATTATTCCAACAAGTTGATATTTTTATGTCTTAGACTGCAATGGGCTTTGTAAGCAGAGAAATATATATAATGGGCGTGTAGTAGTATTATTTATTAATAGAACAGATTATTGTATTTTATATATAATAGAAGATAATAATATACCAATATATAATATATACGTTTTGGAAATCATAATTTGTGTCATGCTTAAGCTGTTGTGGTTTGTGTCTGAACTACCTGAAAACGATATCTCAAACGTGCTGGTTCAGTGTAGGTAGTATTCTACAATAAGCTGTCGTGGAGTTTGTGTCTGATCTACCTAGTGAAAAAGATATCTCAAACGAGGTGGTCCAGTGTCGGTAGTATTCTACAATAAGCTTCCGTGGTTTGTGTGTAAACTACCTGAAAAAGATATCTCAAACGTGGTGGTCCAGTGTAGGTAGTATTCTACAATAAGCTGCCGTGGTTTGTATCTGAACTACCTGAAAAAGATATCTCAAACGTGGTGGTCCAGTGTAGGTAGTATTCTACAATAAGCTGTCGTGGTTTGTGTGTAAACTACCTGAAAAAGATATCTCAAACGTGGTGGTCCAGTGTAGGTAGTATTCTACAATAAGCTGTCGTGGTTTGTGTCTGAACTACCTGAAAAAGATATCTCAAACGTGGTGGTCCAGTGTAGGTAGTATTCTACAATAAGCTGTCGTGGTTTGTGTCTGAACTACCTGAAAAAGATATCTCAAACGTGGTGGTCCAGTGTAGGTAGTATTCTACAATAAGCTGTCGTGGTTTGTGTCTGAACTACCTGAAAAAGATATCTCAAACGTGGTGGTCCAGTGTAGGTAGTATTCTACAATAAGCTGTCGTGGTTTGTATCTGAACTAGCTGAAAAAGATATCTCGATCGTGGTGGTCCAGTGTAGGTAGTATTCTACAATAAGCTGCCCTGGTTTGTGTCTGAACTACCTGAAAAAGATATCTCAAACGTGGTGGTCCAGTGTAGGTAGTATTCTACAATAAGCTGCCCTGGTTTGTGTCTGAACTATACCTGAAAACGATAAGAAACATTACTTTTTGTGGTTCGAACCTCGCGCTTTCTGGCCCGGTTGCTGTAACAGTCAAATAACCTTGGTTCTCAACATTATACCATTACGTCATTTGTATTACGTCATAATTTCCTTGCAAAAAAAATCCAAAATGTGCAAAGTACTGTTTGTTTTAGTTTACATTTTGCGGTGCAAAATTTGTATATATTTTCAGCGATCGAGGGGGAATATTTGCAAAATCGTTTAGCTTTAACAGAAGATAGTTTAGCTTGTCGAATAAGGCATCGTTTTGCATCAAAATATGGCCGAATCTGTGGGAAATTTCTTGAGCGAACAGGCGGACGAAATTTTAGCTTTGTCGTCAATTTTTGGAGGCGATTTTTGCCAAAACGAATACGCCGGATGTCGCACGATTTATCAAATCAAGGTCAAGGTTAAAGTGTATATGAAATGAAAATTTTGATATCGGGTTTTTTGCATTCTCTGAAAATTTGGTCTTCCGATCATAAAAATACCAACCTTGTTGAAAAATTCGAATCAGAAGTTCGTTAATTTTGAGACTATCTACTGGCGAAAGACTGGTACCTAGAGTTCCGGCCTTGTGATGTATGCAGTGTGACACGTCGAAGTGTTTGAGCAGTATTCTTCTCGAGACTTAGCGTACCTGTATGGTTGTAAAATCTGTGAATGGGTAGTCTTTGTCTTCATTGGTTTTCTAATTTGCATTTCAAACACTCATTAATCATTCATAAGCTTATTGGCAAATCATGTCAACCATAATATGTCACGTGCAGTGGCTTTAAACCTGATAAAACACTCCTAATTAGTATTCTTTATATAACGGATACTAATAAGGCAGTATCTATTGTAGTCGTGTCCTCATTAGTTGTTTTTTTTATATAAAGAATACTAATAAGGCAGTATATCTATTGAATTTGTAGTCGTGTTTGAAGCCGTTTAATAAACTCGCAGGTCGTGATTTTTCCTTGCACCAACGAAATATTGGTCCTTGCAAGAAATTTACAAGGAAATAAAATTTACAAGGAAATGGCAAGGAAAAATACAAAAATTAAAGGAAATTGCAGGGATTTCTGTACCTTATACCAGTTACAAGTCTTAAACGATCTGATCTAAAACTCCACACGAGTCAGAACAGGAGTGAACACGAATGGAACACGAGTGAACATGAGTGAACAGAAGTGAACAGGAGTGAACACGAATGGGACACGAGTGAATCCACAATATACTTGGAAGATGACGTACTCGGGCTCTGTGCACGAGATTGTAACTGATTAAATGATGTCCCATTATGCTTTGCAGGCTTAGAGTTCAAGGTTTGCAATGGAGTACCTTTTTTGAATTAGCTGTAGTTTATTTCTTTAATGAAATGCAATAGGCATTCATTTTCATGTTGTTTTTCGGTCCGGGCCGTAGCGAGGGACGGTTAAGGGTTGGTTTAACCTGCCACCCCC